TCTAGCTCCAGCTCCCTGCTGCAGCAGGCGAGGACTGCCCAAATAATCAAAGTCCTCTGAATCTTTTCCCTTTTATTGGCCCCCTGATTCGATTCGGATTTAGAAATTTGGGCACCAAATCAGGCCAAATCTCCTCCAAAATGAATCAGCACCCAAAGCTTCACACAGCCCTACTAGGCAGAGATTTTTTTAAATACAATCCCGAGACATACTTTGCTCTGCTACGCTCATCATCACTGATGGAACTTTCACTGCTGGAACTTTGATGTCTGTGTTTTTTGTGCTTCTTTTTCTTTTCTTTCTTCTTCTTCTTCTCTTTTTTTTCCAAACTGCTTTGCAGCTATAATGCAAAAAAATCCAGATTCAGAACCAATCCCTACTGTTTGCACATTCAGTCAGTTACTATTATAGGACAAGGAGCACTATGCAGATGTAAGGTCTCACATGGAAAGGTTTTCAGGATAACATTTTTTACAAACATTCATAAGGGCTGACAAGGAAGGAGGTCTTGTCATGAAACCTCACTGAATCCTTCAAGTACTTGGCAGGAGAATAAAAAAAACTGAAATAATTTTCTGCAACAGCATGACAAAGAGGAGAGAGGAGAAGATGAAAATGAATGACATGTTCCAGGTAAAGTCCTTGCTGGGAGATTACAATATGAAACTTTCACAGGAACTGAAATTATCTTATTCTTCTCCAAAGAAGCAAGGGAATAGAAACTAGTTCCTTTCTCTAAAGAATGTTCACTCTAGGGGTACACCTACAAAGATTTTTGGGGCTGATACCAACAGTCAATTTTTAAGGAGGCATATTGGCCAATACTGATCCGATTTCCAATCCGCAGCTTGGCAGTTCAAAAAACAGCATTCAGCTGATAAGTTTGTTGTAGTGGAAGGGAAGGGTTGTGGGGAGCACAGATTAAGGCCTCTGTGGTGAGGGAGTGGGGCTGGGGCAGGTGCTGATCATCTGGGGAGGGGCTCCCGCTGCTGCATGCACCCCAGGAGGGCATGGGAGGGGTGTGCCCCCGGATCTGCATGGGGCAGGGAGGGCTGCTGCTGTGGGCTGGGGCCATGGCAGCACTGGGTTCTTCCCGGTGTGGGCTGGGCCGGGCTGCACTGGGAGGGGGAGTTTGGGAGGGCTGCAGCCACCCCAACCCCCACTCCCAGTGCTGCTGCCCACCCCACCCTGAGTACAGCCCAGTCCAGCCACCGCCAGGAAGAGTCCCACGCAGCCCCAGTCCCAGCATGCAGCGGCTGCCCATCCTACCCTGCACACAGAACCAGGGGGCATATGCCCCCCATGACCTCCCTGGGTGTGCACAGCAGTGGGAGTCACCCCCCCCAGATGAGTCATGGCTCCATCCCACACCCTGCCCCGCCCTGGCTGGGCAGGCCTGCCCCAACCCCAGCCCCACTCCCTCCCTCACCGCAGTGGCCTTGATCTGCCCCTACCATGCCCCTTCAGACCAATTTCCAATACAGTCAATTTTCTTTATCAGTGTCAATCTGATATTGGACCTCTAGTTAACTCTGACCCACAGTAATGTTCTCCCTCAAGTCAATGCAAATTTTGCTTCCGTTTTCTGTTAAAGCGTAGTAAGCAATACATACCAGTTCTTTGATTTTCTTCATTTTTACAGGATTATTCAAAACTTCTCTTTTTTTCTCTTCCTCTCTTTTTCTAAAGGGGGGAAAGAGAGGCATTAGTACTTGCCTTTTTGATATTACTGGTTTTTAGAAACTTCACACAAAACATTCATCTAACTTTCAATCCTGAAAATGCCTATCCACATGCAAAACTGGCATTTACAGCAAGTTCTCACATGCTGTAAATGTAGCTATAACTGTATGATCAACTTTGTCAGCTTCTTAAAACATAAGCTGCTGAACAGCAAAGTCAATCAACAATCAGTTAGTCCTCTGTATATTTACTCCTCTGCCCTATGACATCCAGCCTATTGAACTGACCTGCCCATTTACTGTTCATCCTGATAACTGTTCTGGAGACTGCCTGTATGCTCAAAAAGGTTGAACACACACACACACACACACACACACACACACACACACACACA